AGTTACTCAATACAGCATACACAGTTCTCACAATTTCCAGTTGGGCTTGGGATAATTATGCCTTCTGTAATCCACAAGCCACTAGTTAGCTGATAAATTAGTGTGCTTTTACAAAGAAGTAATACTCATGTTACAGTTTGCAATGCAAGCCAAAAAAAAACCCAGAAAACTAACCCCAAGAAAAACAGAAATCAACAAAATAAAATAAGGACAAATCAGCAGTGAAACAAACAGAATTAGAACACTTTCAACCCTATCAGATTTCACTTTAAATAAAGCAAATCCCATGCTGCAAAAACACAAAGGCCAATATTTTCCCCTTCTGTGTATGTATATTAATGGGGGTTATGCAAAAATTCAAGGACAGAATGTGATTGACTAGTAATTTTTTAAATTACTTTATACTACCTTTTACACTTGATCAGTTAATAGTCACWCTGAGCTTGAAGCAAATATTCATGTGAGAACGAATGACTTGCATAAGAAAGAACTGTAGAATCAATCACAATCAATTCACAATCACATTCTAGTTGTATTCAAAGGGACAACATGGGATATAAAATACCAATTGGAAAATGGAGTAATATTTATTGATAATTTTACTGTAAGGAAATTAAAACACTCCTGTAGATGAAAGGTGATTAAGTCACTATCAGGTATCTTTAGGCAGACATAGGCTCTTTGCTATGCCTGGATATTCCACTGTTTCTTATTTGATTCACTCTGCATTTATAGTACAACATCTATAGAAACATTGMATATTTATTTAGGATTTAGCTCTAAATGAATAGCCCTTAGAGTTTCATCATATTAAAAACTGAAAGAAAAGAAGAAGACTTTTGGACCCCATAAACAAGAAGGAATGGAAGAGGTGGTGCATTAACACTTGAAAAAAAAMCATTAAAGTATGGGTTCATTGGATTCACAGCCATTCCAAAGTCAGGCTCCTTTGATTTTGAGTGCACTGCAGAGAACAATATACCTCAGGCACAGTTCAAAAGGCATCAGCTCAGCTGGGTTCTCTCTTAATATGCCAGTTCAACAAGGTGCTGAACCATAAACACTTCATCAATCCAGCTGCACAAAGTTCACATCTACTGAAATCAGTGCTCATCTGTATACCAGGAAGTATAAAGCATAAAGTACAAAGACTTTTATACTATGGACAGGTTGGTCAGAGCTGTTGCTGCACTAAGGAGGTGGCTATAGGTCCAGCAACTGCAAAGAAAACACTAAAAGATGGTTGAGAGTAAAAGCAAAATAACTTTTTTTTTTTTTTTTTTTTTTTACAGACAGTCTTCACAAACTATTGATTACACAATAAATATAAATAAATGCCTGGTCTAAAAACTCAGATGCTACTCTGGACTAAAGAATGCCAGACTTGTGCAAAACTCTGTGGTTTGGGGACCAGGMTTTGGGACTTTTCTGGCATGTAGAATATGCAAAATTCCTGTCCTTCATAAATCCCAGCACAGCTTCTCATTTCATAGCACTGTACATGTCTGAAATGACTGGACTTCTGACCATCTTTATCTTAATCCTTCTTAAAAGGCTTATGAATGAGAACATTGGAAAATGAAAGCAAATCCTGTATTCCTCAGCTGAAACATCTACTGAATTTAGAGAGATCTTTCTTGGGGTGAGGACTAAGCAAGAACTGCTGTGCTGCTAATACGTTAATTAGCAACTGAGATGAGGTGCCCATCTGCATTCACTGAAATAAAAAAAAGCTCAAATAGTAAAGTGTGCCTGTATTGTGCATCAGAACTTACCTATAATATTCATTTTTTTTACTAGCTAACCATAGTTTTAATTTCTTGCCACATATTCTTCTTGCTTTCTCCTATTTATTGTTACAGATMCTGTAGAACACCTGCTGCTCATTCCCAGTCACCTTGGTCTGTCTCACCTTGCTATAAGTGAAGTCAAAGGCAAACCTTCACTGACCTCGAAAAGGCACAGGATTTGTCCTGAGATGCCTAATCCAAAGCAGGACTCCCTCTTAATTCAGTAAGCTTTGGATCAGACCTAGAAGGGATCTTAGCAGAATCAAGAAGTGGCAAGACACAGTCACATATCAAAACCACATCCGAGTGTTTATCTCACATTTCTAATCTTTGATGCCAAAGGGATTAAAAAGCAAGCTGTTCCTGTCGACTGCTTGGATGCTACACAGGATCTGAATGAACAGGCATCTGTAGGATAGCTGTGCACATTCATATGGTTTTGTTTCTTCAAAAGGAAGCTAATATTTGAACTCGAGGCTTATGGTAATATTTCCTCACTTGGATCCCAACTTGCCACTGTCAAAATCCCATCACCCTTTCCACTCCTATAGAAGAGGGAAGATAGTTATGCCTCTTGTGTCAGGGCAGTGCAGTAACTGATCTGACCAAACACAAAACAAGAAATCTAAAGAGATCTTATCCAAACACTTCAGATAAAACCTCGCCACAGATCCTAACTCAGTCTGTTTCGAAGAGCATCCAACTGATTCTATCATGCCTTGTTTTATGTTACCCAAGTTCAAATGTGTTGTGATGTGTTTTTGCTCTCCTTTCTGTCATTCAGCCAAGTTTCTACAGCTGTTGAGTTGCCATGGGTGTATCTGACAATAATTTTGGCTCACATATGTATTTACAAACAGAAGGTGAATAGAAACKGACTGCATGTATCATGGTGACTTCTAGCTACCAGAACCACAGGTACCACATCAAATGGCATTAATTTAGACAAAAGGAAATTAAAAAAACGAAAACCATTACAACATGTATGCAAGTGGAATGTGAAGCTTCCCGTAGCAAGAAAGAATTGATCTAGAACTTTGAACCAAATTAGGGGATGAGGGAAAAATGAGAAAAAAGGTAAAAAAATAATTATTTAGACATCTTGAGAAATAAAAGAATCAGTCACTTTAATCTGCAAAATCTGTGGAGAAATCTGCTCTGAGTGACCAAAGGGGGATTTTCCTAAAAGCTAGGAGTTAGCCTAACTCCTTTTAAGCAAATTCATGACAGGACATTGTTAAGTAAGTCACAAGAACAGTTCAGTGAATGGCAAGCACTCATACAAATTTAACCATCCTACATTTCTGCATTTATTCAACATGCAAATGMATGAAAGCAAGTCACAGGCAAAGAATCTAAGAATCAATATATTACTTTCATTCTATTCATCTGCTTCATCTTACTGTGTTGTCTCCTACCTAGTCTTAGGAAAACACTAATGAAGCACATGTCTCAAGCCCTAGACACAACTACCTCCATATATATATATATATATTTCACAAACAAAGTCCAGGACTAGGTGATCTCCCAGGTCATGTGCAGTGTGTTTYAGCTGGGTGGTTCAGACAGGAGCTCCTCTTGCCCGTATCAAGGAGGAGAGTTTTGTTACAGAACACTTTGGTGATGTTTCAAGGGATGCAGGACTGAGAAGGTGGTCCCCAAGTCCTGCAGGCAGGACAGCAGCTGTGTCACAGAAGTGCTGGCAAGGGYTGAYGGATGTTAGCTTGCACCAGGGGATCAYGGTGTGTAACACAGCCTCCCTGAACCCTTTTTGGCAAAACTTATGCCCATCTGCTTCCCCTCTGCTCTTTCTCCTGGAGAAGAACATATGGCCCAGTATATGTGTCTCGGAAGCAGAACATTTATTCATGTAGTTTTCTAAAATATTCTGAATACTTTCATTTT